TATGTGTGGGTTGGTGGGGTGTGAATGTGTGTGTGTGTGTGTGTGTGTGTGTGTGTGTGTGTGTGTGTGTGTGTGTGTGTGTGGGAGCTTCATTGAGTTTTTTGCAGTGAGCTCCAGTCTGCTGTCGTCTCTCTCGTCTTTGATCACTGATCATTGAAGCTTCTCTAATCCGTCTCACTGTCATCCTGTCTGTGTTGTTCCTTCCTTTCATGCTTTCATCCCAGCGCTGAGAGGACACAGAGCACTCAGATAGTTTTACCGTTTCACTTGATACCTGCAACCCGAGACCCCAATGGAGCCACTTCACACACGCACACACACACACGCACACACACACATGCACACGCAAGCACACACACACACACACACATGTTGTGTTTCCATGTTTTATGGGGACATTCCATAGGATTAATGGTTTTTATACTGTACAAACTGTATGTGCTATTGCCCTACACCAACCCTACCCCTTACAGGAAACTTTGTGCATTTTTACATTCTCAAAAAAACTCATTCTGTATGATTTATAAGCTTGTTTCCTCATGGGGACCTCAAAAATGTGCCTACAAGGTCAAAATTTACTAGTATTACTATCCTTGTGGGGACATTTGGTCCCCATTACGTGATAAATACCAGGTACACACACACACACACACACACACATACATGGATAGATGAGTTCACACACTACCTGCACACACATTCGCTCACTCACATTCACACATAATGTTGGCTTATAGAGTACAGATATTATCTTATGTTACTGAAAAAGAGGTTTGAATTGGGGGAAAATAATCACAAATGGGTTTAATATCTATCTTTATATATAGAAATATATCTATATCTTTATATATGGATATATATATATATATACACACACACTCAGATGTATTGGAGATAATTAGAGAAAATTTGGCCAACTGATTATCTTTAAGTTATGGCAATATGACTATATAATTTTATATAATATAATGAACAGTTATAATAAAATATAAATGTTTTTGTGTGTGTACGTGTCATGCAAATATATATATATGTATGTATATGCATGACAGTGTTTGAATGAAAATTATACATTTTCTGTATGTGTGTGTGTGTGTGTGTACTATTATAGTTTTTGGATTTGTTATTTTGAATTATTTGTTATTTTTATATTTAGTAATTTAGTTGTGTTTTTGCTTTTTTTTTTACTATATAGTTTTTACAATTTTTACATTTTCAATTTCAGTTTTAGTTTGTTATTTTTGTATTTTTTATGTGTATGAATGAATTTTAAATATTGTACAGTGTACAGAATAGTATGCTGAATATTATATATTAAATATTATAAATTATTATATGTATCATTAATTCAATAATATATGGATTTTGTCCTTGTGTGTGTATTTGTATGTTATTATTGTGTCTTTGTTTGGACCAAGTGTGTCCTTAATAAAGTTTTGATGATGATGATACTGATAATTATGAAAAACACAAATATTGACTGATAGTGATGTACTCACTGATATACAGTATCACATATAAACACATGCATACACACATTTAACCTTACCTAATGCCACACATACTCTATCAAATCAGCTACAGTGAACAGGAGGGATTTCGAGAGAAATACAAACACAGATCCCTGAGTAGCTGCACAGAGGAAGCATCCAGTGCATCTTCCTCTTCGCCGGGGGTAGACATGATAGAAGCATCTTTCGACACTTTTGTGCTGATCAAAGGGCAGCTGCAGCAAACCCCCGCAAGTCCAGCCGCAGGGTTCACACCCGCAACCGCTGGGGTTATCAGGCTCCGATAACCAGGCATCACATGCTCCCATGTGAGAGTGTGTGTGTGTGTGTGTGTGTGAGCTGTTTTAGGAGCTGAATTAAAATGTGCAGGTGAGCAAAGGTCAGCCAAAACTGTAATTTGACCTCTGATCTCTGCACACAAACACACCTATGCACACGTTTGTTTTGTTCCACAGAAATGCTATTCATTGTCGAGTTTTTGTAGCACAACTGGACAATTTTGATGATTTGCTGTAGAAATTGTGAGGGGTTTTTGCACACGCAAAAGTCACTGTCATGGTTTCAAGATGTTGCTCTGAGGATTGCTTGCTAAATCTGAACTAAAACTACAATAAAAAGTATTCATTAATTACAATTAAATTAAAATTAAACTATTATTAATTGTTCAAATTTAACCTAAATAGTAATATTAACCAAACGGCTAATAAAAATGACAAAAGCAAAAAAAACAAAATTACTAAACATTAATTGAAAATGATGTACTTAAAACTTTTTAAGCAGGCTTCGCTCTGTTTCAAATGAAAGCCTCTATATTCTTTCATTAATAGTTCATATGTTGTGAATTTCAGGTATTCTGGAGATCACATCAGTGGATGTTGGGATCGTTGCCATCAGAGGTATCGGCAGTAACCTTTACCTGGCTATCAGTAAGAAGGGAGAACTGTATGGAGCGGTGAGTATCCTGCACCAAACCTTAAACCATTCATAAAAATAAAGATATGACTGAACAATTTTATCCAGGGGTTTTCAAATGGGATATAGGGATCTGTAGGGGGCCACAAGGGGGTGCTGATAAGATAAGATAAACATTGATTTTGTTTTGGGGGTGTACTAGAACATGCTCTCATGCTTGGTGGTTCGAAAAACGCATTATTTTTCACATAATTTACATTATTAAAATACCTTTCTCCCCAGCCTGGCACAAACGGCTCGATTAGTTCCGGCTTTAATGAAGGTCTGCCATTCCGAAAACAAAATGTGTTGTGATTGGTTGGCTGTCCCAGTGCATTGTGATTGGCGAACAGCTTAGACGGTGTTTCAGTACTGCCCCGCCCCCTTGCTCCGTCTTTCAACAAAAGCTTTTGGGCGAATCTGGCACTACTCACTCGTGTTGTGGAAGCTGTCCTCAGTAAATTGCGCAGACCACAATAGCAAATTGGGGTTAAAATGCTCAGGAACAGAGTTAAAAAAAATGCAACCACTGTTTCCTGACATCATCCGTTTTCAGAAGCCCAAACAAAGACGTTTGGGCACGGAGGTGAAAAAACAGCGTTTTTCTGGCGGTCGCGCACCGGACGAGAAGCGCAGCGTCGCGTCACATCTTTAAAATGAAAATACATTGTTTTCTATGAGTGTAGGCACACCGGCGGCGCCGTTCAGAGTCTGTCCGCGACGCCCAGCTATGTCGTGTTATACTTGTAAGAATTGTTCTAGACATGCCGAAAATTTGAAGCTACAGCACAGCAGCTCTTCTTCTTGGTTTTCTCTGATGCACTAACTCTGCA